AAATAAATAAATAAAAGGAAAGATAGCCACATACTGGGAAAAGTTAACTGAAACCATCAGCTGACTAAGGATCACTTTTTTCTAGACTACACAAGGAATTACAAATCAATAAGACAGACAAATGATCCAACAGATATGTGGGCAGATAGTACAAACAGGCAATTCTCAAAGGAAGAAATCAGAAAGTTGACAGGAAAGAAATTCATTATCACTAGTAGTCAGGGAAATAAAATGACAGCAGGAGAATTGAATACAATCAGACTGACATATTAAGTCTAATAAGAATTATTGCTTGTGATGAGGAGCTGGAACCCTCATATGCTGCTGGTGGCAAAATTAAGTGGCATAATCATATTGGAAAACAATTTAGCAACATTTAGTGACACTGAAGATGCTCATGGCCTATAACGTTAAATTCTACTTTCTCACCCTAAAGAAACTTCTTTGTGCTAGAGGCACAGGACAAACAATGCCTGCAATCCAGAGAAAACAAATGGAAAAAATCCAACCACAAGCTAGTTGTAGTTCGTACCAAATGGGAACAATTTCGTCCTCACCCTACAGTCCCATTTATCACAAAGGAATCTTTCTATAAATGACCCTTTTCTTGAAGGGGAAGTGTGCAGAGATTTAGGTTTTAAATTTACTGACCCACCATATATTAATGAAATCTGTAATTCTTGGTATTGACAAGCATTAATCCATGTTAATATCTGTTGCTGACTATATTGAACTAGAAGCACCTTTCCTCTCCATTCTAAAATTATCTGAAAGTTTAAGAATATAAAAACCTAACAGAAAATATAAAATAAAAATGGTTGCTTAATTGAGGAATTCTTCCAATTCTCTGCTATTAAAGTGACAAGACACTATATATGGAGTTAAGACTTTCATTTGAAATGGTTCACGTGGTCGCTATGAAAAACATCCTGTATAAGACAAACCTTCTTTACCCGAGTATTTTAGAATGATGTGAACAAGTCAAAAAGTGACAATTTTGTGCCAGTGAGCATGTGGATCTACTACTTTAACAAAAAAACGGGGATGGGAAAAAAATGACTGTGAGACAACATACCTGGATCAGCTGCAGTGAAAGGAACACCATCAGATGTATAAAATGTTGGTTCATTCTAGGATGAATCAAAGTGATAAAAATATGTAATCATTTTAGAATTGATTTTTTTAAAGTATATTAATTAATGCAGCATGGATGTCACTCGTCTGCACCTGATAACGTAAGAAAAAGCAAAAAAAGCTAACTTCCTAGCTGCCATTTTTACTTCACTGGGAAAGTCTATGGTTTTCAGATTTCCATTCTATTATTTCAAGCTGTTGTGGTTCTAACTGTGCTGTCTATTGTCTGTCACCTTCATGGTGAACTGTTCTGTTGTGCATTGTGATTTAGTGTCAGCCCATTTTAGCTGTGGTTTCCCCCTAGCCACTTCAAGAAATGGGAATTCTCATTTCTTGAAGAATTTCTATGACTGGGGTTGGAGGAACATTTCTCCATAGTTGCTTTATGTCTGGTCATGTCAGGAGCTTCAGGGCATCACTGGCCTGGTAACCATTTTTTATTTTCTTATTTTACTTTATTACAACATGCAAAGTCAGTCTGAGATGCAGGTCCTTAGTAATGAATTCTCTGGAAAAACTGCTTCCTGGCATCCCTGTGCTCACTTAAGTCCAATCCTTATCAATTTCTCCTTGGATGAATCTTTCTCCAGTCCACCCTAGCACTGGAGAATTCCAGGTCTCTTCTTCTTTTTTTTTTTTTTTTGAGACAGAGTCTCACTCTCTTGCCTGGGGCGAGTGCCATGGCGTTAGCCTA